TGGCCATCATTACACGCTCGTCGAATAATATACTATTATTTACAACCATATATGTAATGTTGTCATTACTAACGTCGTTGAAGGTTGGGAAATGTCATATTACACACCTCTACTTCCCGCCTTCAATTATTATGTAATATTTCAAATATGTAAGCGAAATATGATGGTTGTAAATAAAATAGTATACAAACCTCGGTAGGAAGTTTCATTCCTGTCTCGAGATCATAGCTAACCTCGACGCTTTGCGTCTCGGTTAACTAACTAATCTCACGCCAGGAATGAATCACTTTCCACCTCGGTGTGTAATATACTATTGTAATAATCTGCTTCTGAAAAAAATCCTTTGCGAGGTTCCATTTTATCCTAATTCCTCGAAAACTATCTATTTTTGCTCAGTTGAATTATGCATTTTTCCAAGAAAATTGAACAAGAAATTCAGAGAATTGATAATAATAGGAATTTCATCAGTTGCGTAGAACATATGGGAGAAAAAGCTTCCACGACCTCCTGTAGTGCAACATTGGATTAAATGTATGGAGTTACTTTGAAGTCAAATTTGACCCATTTGAAGATGAAACCATATGACGAAATCTGAATGCCAAAAAGCTGTTATTTTAATTATGTCAACTCCCTTTATCTGAAGAACACTTGCAGACCTTATGTTCCTAAATTAGTCGTCATTAAATCTAGAGAGCTATCACCTATTGGATGCCTCTTGAAGAATTCCGGAATACGCTCATTGCATGTAAGGTAGGTGAATACAATTTGCCCAACTTTGGCGATTTGATTTGTTCAAAGAATAATTGTGGATAACGAGTTGGTTAGTCATATTTTTTATCCAATTTGAAAAAAAAAAGAGTAAATGGCCATATTGCCAATACGGTGTCGGCAATATGGCCCATGCATGAAAAAGTCGAGAATTATAAAAAAATTAATTTCGAAACCTAAGAAATAATAAGAACAAGGATGAATATTTTTCTCAATTATTCGTTGAATGAACAAATGGACATTTCTTAAATTTCCTTGGTTATTGAAACCACTCGATCTTCATGAACATTATTTTGGTAGACACTTCTTCCAGGTGCTGACGTAGATTTGGGTACTATAGTACTGTGCATATTACCAACTCCGCATGGTGGTCATATTGCTACACACGAAGTTGAATTAGGTTAAGTTATGTTTTTGTCTTGAGTGTTACCTTAAATCGATTGCTTATCACCACAATCCAATACCCATGTATGGAACACAAAATATTGCAGTTCATCAACACTGTCTTTTATACAACTCTACAATGAAAAACCTACCGTTGAAATATTATACCGGCGTCTTAAAAAGATATTTTTAGTGATAGTCTGATAACGCTGCAACTTGCTGTCTAATCAACTTGAATCTGACAGTAGGTTAACAGAAAACTTTTATAACTGTGCTGCCATGGTTCATAAAACAACCAAACTAACGAATCGTGCGCAATTGCAATCATATGCATATTGTATTCACCTACTTTACATAATATTCTTGCAGGGTAATCGATTGAAATTCCACACTGGACACTGGTGAGTAGTGACCCATCTGTTATTTTTGGTTCATGTTTGAAATTAATAAACTGAAACGATGAAAAACTCTTGAAAGTAGGTATGTCATATGGAGTTGGCTGAAAAAGTTGTTACCCAAAGACCGACTTTTTAGCAAAAATTCACAGACACTTCAAGCATTAAAAGTATTTTCATGTACTCTCATACCAGGTTATTGATACTCATATGGAGGAAAATTAGCTTTTCTGGTCCATTTCTAGCAAGTACCACTGCTGCACTGCTGAAGCCTGGTATTCAGTATACAAAAGGCATAAAACGAGTAGTGACTTGACCACTCTACATTAATTTGTCTCCACTCCGTAGCCACGTGCTATCTTTTAGCAGGCTCAGTGTTCAGTCAGAATGAGAATTTTTGTCAGGAAATGGCAAACGGGCTGCAGGCTCTGCTCAGGGCCTACTCTATCTCACCGGGCCGTAGTCTATCCCCTCTCTCTCGACGCTGACGTCACACTAGTAGGTTGAGATTTCACAACAGTTCGTACTGGTGCGTTCGTAATTAATAGGCTATAGCTCATTTACTATACATTTAAGAAGCACACACAATCGAGACGAAATGATCCCCAACGAGTTCCCCAACTTCTGGTGAAAAAATGAATCCAATAGGATGTATCAATACCGAGTTCTGGCGTTGTAAAGAAATTCCATTTTATTGAAAATCAGGACGTTGTACTACAGAATACTATTTTTTGCAAATTTGGAATCGGAATAAGATAAAACCAACTCAGTATATCAAACTACTATAATGTATCAATTGAATAGTGAAAAAATGGTAGAGTTATACCTACAATTAGTCCGAAAGAAATTAAATATAAAGAGCGCGTAAAAAATGAGCCATATACCTACTTACCCAAATTTCGCTGTATACGATTTCGCGGTATTTCCTTGGACTGGTAGAGGGCGATAAACGATTATATAATATATACTCATTTTATTTCTGAATGGCGTATGGTTCAGACGTAGAAATATTGGTGTCTGAAAAATTCGAAACAACATTTCTACAATGTAAGTCACAACATAAAGTTTTGGAAAAATTTTTAGAAATTAAAATCAATTCCCTTATCAATTATTTAGAGATTCAATGTTGCAGTTGTGGGTCTTTTATATACAGGGTGATTCAAAAGTAAGCGGCATCCTTTCAGAGGCGTATTCCTTGCTTGAAAATAAGGCAAAAAGTTCCTATTGATAAGGATCCGAAAATGCTTCCTAAGGGAGCTACGGCCCTTTGAATAGGACACCTCAAAGACGGTTTTTTCTCTATAACTTTAAAATCCTTCACAACAAATTTTTAAAAATTGGTGTACGGCATAAACATTCGATGGTAAATAGGACTCCGTATTCGAAATTTCAGAATTTCATTCAGGGGCGTCACATGCGGGAGAGGGTAAGTGTAAAAATATCCCTTCTTCTCCGGATATTCAGGTTACTGTGATTTCGTTTGGAAATTATTTCGAATACGGAGTCCTATTTACCATCGAATGTTTATGCCGTACACCAATTTTTAAAAATTTGTTGTGAAGGATTTTAAAGTTATAGAGAAAAAACCGTCTTTGAGGTGTCCTATTCAAAGGGCCGTAGCTCCCTTAGGAAGCATTTTCGGATCCTTATCAATAGGAACTTTTTGCCTTATTTTCATGCAAGGAATACGCCTCTGAAAGGATGCCGCTTACTTTTGAATCACCCTGTATATTGATCACTCCAAATCCAACAGTTTATTTTGTTTGGTTTTGTTTGTATGAGGATTCATCGTTTTTTTCCTTATTTATTCATATATCGTGTTTCTGGGTTTTCTGTTATTCAGTTCGTTATATTTATTATTATATCTCTCATTGTTGAAATACCTGTTTTTTTATTATTTTTGTTTGGTTGTGTTCATATGAACTCCACCTATTTTGTTCTTTTCAATTTTGATAGTTTGGAAATATATCCAAATCAATTTTTTTTCATGAATTCAACGATATTCTTAAAATATATACTCTTCAGCAGAAAATAATTAATACCGAATAGGCGTTTTTGTGTAATAACACACTCGAGTGATAGGATTTATTCTAACGTCATCAAAGTGCGTCCTGATCATCTTTAGACATAAACGCTGCTAAAACCTTTTGAAATAAAGTGGATGTGTATTGTACCATTTTGTAGGCAATTAAATTTTCTACAAAAAAGTCAGTGGCAGCATATATCCACAGTTGATAGGATGAGCATGGGAGGCGTCCGAACTTTTTGAACTATTCTGTAATGAACACCTGAATCATCGTTCTACTTGAACTGAAATATCGGTTTGTTATTGGCCCTTGGGAATTTCAAGAAAAAACTCAGTCAATCTAGATACTATGAGAAATCTTTTCATGATTGAATCATTTCTGTGAATTGAATATTGGAATTTTGGTAGCTGTTTAAAAAAGGACAATTCTGAATAGCGTCAATTGATTTTGATATGCGATATTTCTGAAACTAATGATCGTAAATCAGTGAAAGTTGATTCATCTTCTGGAAAATTCTATTCTGTACATATTTGATCTCTTGATATTTTTTGCTAACTGTAACCGTTTTCCCGAGGTACATCAATAAAACGGGAGAGACAATTTCCACTGCGTTGATTTTGTCCCTACTAGTGTGACGTCACGAAAGCGATGCTCCGGCCCGGTTAGATAGAGTAGGCCCTGCTCTGCTGCACGAAAGATAAACAGTCATAACAGTAGTACAGTTGAATAATTGAATAACCATCGCGTATGTCTGTTAAAGTTTGTGCTGGTCGAATGGCTGATCTATCTTATCATATAGCATTGAAAATCCTATATAGGCAGTCAATTTCCTTTCAGATAGGTGCCTACGGTAAAATTGATTACAAAATATATTGATCGGCCCAATAACTCTCAATGTTCCTGGTCAAACTGGAAATCAGATCAATCAATGCCATTTATGAATCTCTTATATAGAGGGGTTTGGATCACAAATGATTTTTCTCACTATCACGTATGAAATTCTTATTGATACAAAAATAAGTGTGGGACTTCAAACGAGCATCTGGAAAGAGTTGATCAGTTAGTTATAGTTAGTTGATACAAAGTCGCCCAAAGGTGAGTGATCTTTTCTGTTACATACGTGGTGTTTCTTGAGTACGTGTTGGAAAATCAACCCATTGTTTTTTAGGTAGAACTTGATAAGAGTTTGTTATCATTTTGAAAATGCATGATAGTGATGATGTGAAAATTGGTGAGGGTGCATGCTATTGTGCCGCAAAAAGAATACATTTTTGAGTTATTCATTTGAAGATGCAGATACTTATCTGTTTAATAGTACAAAAGAAAAACCACGGCATCACTTTTTTCAATTGAATCGTCCCATAGAATTCAGACTTCAATTTATGTTAAAAAATTCTCTTGTAATTTCTATAGTCACTCTGTGTTGCACTTTCTTATATGAAGTTCATCGCCCTGTATCTCGGAAACGGTTGACTCATGGACTTTTGCTAGAAATAAAACATCCCTGATTTTTCTAAACGTACTGAAGAACATCCTGCGTTTAAATATCATTTACATAGAAAATATGTGTTATCATGGTAGCGTTTCAGATACATATGAATAAGATGAAATTAATCTATTTCCTATTTCATTAATTTTCCTCCAAACACAAACAGTACGGAAATATAGGTATGCTTCCAAAATCTATATTGTCGACTCCTTAGATGAACTGGTCCCTCTGCTCTCCTCTGCACTCTCGTGCTTCCTCTGCAAGGCCTGTAGCGTTAGTGGCGGGAGGAGGGGGAAGTTGAGTCCCGCCCCAGCCAATCCAGCGGCTTGCTGGAAGTTAGCCACGTGTTGCAAACTCTGCAACAATGCGGCAGAATGTTCCTGTGCCTTTCGTCGCAGTTCAGCTACGCTCGACGAGCGATGATCGCCACCGGGCGATAGTTCAGATTGATCGGTAGATGGCAGCAGAGAGGAGCCGAGACTTGTGATTGGTTTCATGGGACAGCAGGAGCAAAGACCCGGAAATCCTGGAAAATAGAACAATGTGAAACTGGAGTGAGAGAGATATCATCAAGTACTTATACAGATTCGATTCGGAACCAGGACCGGAAGTTACGATTTCCGATTTTGCGTTCCGAGAAGTATTATTGCAGTTCAGATGTCGATGATTATTGAAAGAACTCACGTTATAAGTGAAGTTGATTTTTTTTAATGAAACAGTGATAGCTCATTAGAGTGACGGGTCTATTAGGCGAGGGTTGGCTTCAGTGCAAGGCATGTTTGTGGCACCAATTCAATGAGGCTACAAGATTTTTTCCAATGATTCTACAAACATTACCTATCAGGTCTGTTAGTTGAATTCATTTAAAATTGAAAATCATAATGAAGAAGTATCATTTCAATGAAAATTTAATATCCTATTCGAAGCACAATCCTTCATATCAAAAACTAACGTTCCATCGATTTGAGGAACTCTTGAATTGGATTCTCTCAATAACAATTTTTAAGACTATCAAAGATATGAGTCCCAATAAAATCCATCCAAAGATGACTAATTACTATGCTGATTAATGATATCGAAATGATTTCGATCTATCATTTTCAGTGTTCCAATCGATTTCCAAAATACCGCCATAGTAACATCTACTTCTCGATTTCTTTTTTCAATTTTTCCAACAGGAAACCAATCAAGCAAGCCATTATATTGACTAAGAGAAGAGATTTGCATGCCGAAGGATTCGGAAATAGTATTATATCTTGCTCGAAAATTGATGCATTCCCATTGAAAAATATTTATACAAAGAGCAAAAAATGTTATTTGAGGCCAATATTGTGAAAAGTAAGAATATTATTTTGTTACTATATTCCAATTCCTTTCAATATTCGGAGCCTTCAATAAACAATGATTCCATTGTTGTAGCCGACCAAAATTCCGAGTAGCTCTAGAATGACTTCATTTAATTTCTCAGAATTTATGAGTTCATAATTCATGCCTTTTTAGAATATGTATCGTTGATTCTGCTGATAATGATGAAGAGGTATTCGAAACATGTACAGGGGCGGATCCAGGCGATGTTTGAGGGGGAATTCACGGTTCATTGAATATAGCGAAAAATAAAGGAATTTTCATTAGAGCATTCTGAAAAAGATGTATTATTCTCAGAAAGATTAACTGTAGTAAAAGTAGCAAACATAAAATAATTCTCAGTTTACTTTCAAGCAAGTATATATCAAAATTCCTCTTTCAAATAAATCAGCCTCAAAATATTTCATATATTCATGAATATACAGGCTTACTGACAAAAACCCCCCAAACCATACCGCCGCTATTATATCTATATCCGATTTTGAACACAAAACCCCGAAAGAAATTACTCATCATATTTTTTCGAATTCCAACTGAAAGCGACTGATTTTTATTGGCAGATGGCATTATATGTTTTTATTTTTTGTTCGAGATTTTTTTTCTGAATACAATGATATTACCTATATGATAAGGACAAGTTGCATTTCGAACAAAATTAGTTAAAATGATAAATGAATTCTCGATTGACAAAATAGATATTTTCATAAAATTTTGATATGTCATTGTATCATTCAATGTGGCAGTGAATGTCAGTATTTCATTTGTCAGATATTTCGACACGGTTTGTAATTTCAATAAAGTATTCGTAAATTGTGTTTCAAATAACGACGGCCTGTTTGAATATTGAATTTTTTTCACAGCAGACTTTACAATTACATGAGTTATTGAAATATATGACGAATGGAATATCGACATTTATTTCCGAGATATTTATTGTCACATTTAATGATGCATACCTGGATGCATCCCAAATTTGTATGTCTTGTCAACTGAGCATTCATTCTTTATCTCAAATGATTTTGTTGTCAACTCTTCATACATCACTGTATTCCAAAAATTTCTAGATCAGAAAAAAACATGTTATGCAATGCAACATTTAAAACGAAAAATGCCTGACGTTACTGTCGATATTTGAGAAAAATATCAGAGCCTACTTTTTATTATTATCTGATGAGTATTTTCATTTGCCCTTTTGTTCCAGAATCGGATCATCAATAGCAGCGCTATGGCTTGAAGCGTTTTTTATCAGCCAGTCTCTAAGTAGATTCCTTGAAAATTCGATATTGGATAAAATAAGTTAAAATAAAAGTTCTGTCAAAATTACTATTATTCTACACGAAAAAAATGGGTTAGAACAACCGTCCTACAGAGGTGTGTCATATACTACTCATATCAGAATATCAGAAAAACCGGTGGTGTACAATGACATTCAGCATAAATATCGATAAATTTGCCCACTGTAACGCCACTGGAAATATTATTTCGAATCCAGTTGTACCAGAAGAAGCTCCATATTGATATTAACAAAACCACAACGTTTTATCGGAATAGATGGAAACACAATTGAGTTATGAATAAAAAAAAGATTTTTCATGGAAATTTAAATACCCCGTATCTCGATAACGTAGAAAGTTAGGACACATGTTTATATCAACTGTATTTCCTAAAATATCACGAATCACCCATAGAAATGTTTCTGGTGTTATTTAGATACACCCTGTAGAATGGTTTGAAGATGCCCCAGCATATTTGGAGTAGGCCCTCGCGTAGTATAATGATTAAAATGCGTTTTGCTGTTCCACCGAGTATACGCCATTCGTATAACGACTATATGAATTTTGGATACTGAGTATCAGATTTTTGTGTATAAGGACATACACATTTTTTCTGGTTCCTGTAAACCTACATTATCGCCTACAATTTTACATCATGGGTTTCCCGAGGGGGAGGGGGCATGGCACCCCCCTGGATCCGCTCCTGAACATGTATACTATAGTCTATTTGATTCCTGGCCCTAATAGATTGTTGTGGAAATGACTTCGAGCCTCAATCGTTCTAGTTCGAATAATATAGGAATTATTTGAATCATTCCAACGGCCATTCTAGATTGCCAAAATATATATAGAGTGTAATTTGATGGAAATTTATCGAAAGGAAATTTCCCCATTCATCACTCCAAATTATCGAACGGAACGCTGAAAGGAAACTCCAAATTCGTTTCGGAGAATGTATTTCTCGCGAGTTGGATGCCTTCTCTTCTATTGCGTCATAACCAAGATTTATACTCAAATCCAGCGATGAATTACTTTATCTCGTTACCTTTATGCGGCGCGAGGTTTCTATCCACTTATAAGCGCCGCATTTTCCCAATTTGCCACCACTTTGCACCTGAGAACTCTAAAATTTATTGGGTACACACTTTCCACGTCGAATCTGATAGGGAGAGACGGCGGGATTCCTTGAGGCTGCAGATATTGGATTGTCGAACATCAATACTAATTTTCGGAGAGTAATGCGGTAGATATCCGAGTGAAACCTCATCGGCGAAATACGTGTATGCCGGTTATACCAAGAAATTTTGATGTGCAGAGTAATGCTCTAATAACATTTTGTCTCATTATGATTTTTTTCAAGCCGGCGGGAGTAGAAGTTACTTTCTCTGGTAACAAAAGAGGGGCAGAAGTTTCGTATTGTAATGATATTCCCCTTAGAGGGGCTCTAGAAACATCAGCAGGAAGGCAGGAGTTCAACGATCATCCTGTAACACGCATCCTAGATTGTTCTCCAACCTTTCAATGATTCCTACATGCATCAGCATATTTCCGACCACTCAATATATGCCGCGGTGACAAATAACGTGTCAGAAGATTCTGGAATGTTCTGGAAACAATCGATGGAACAATTAGAGAGAGAGGTATTGTTCTAAGAAGCTTCTATACCTTTTCAACTTCAATTTCGGAATCGGTGAGTTATATTTCGGAAAAAGTAATCTCGATTTCAGAATTGGTTAGTTCGATTTCAGAAATGGTAAACTCAATTTCAGAATCGGTGAGATGAATTTCAGAAAAAGTCCATTCAATTTCAGAAATGGTAAGTTGTATTTCAGAATTATTATTGGTAGGTTCAATTTCAGAAGATGAAATCCTTTTATATGCTTGAAATGTTTTTAATTGCGAAAGAGAAGATTGTTTACAGTGGATGAACGGTGTTTGAGAGCCCTATGTTGAATAAGATTGAACATATATGGGGTGCCTTCAAGTCAGAAGTGAAGAGCTTCTTGCAAGAGCATCGCCAAAGGGCAATAGCTGGGGATCCGAACAGCTTGCTCAACCAGATAGAATTCAGACTGCGATGTCTTGAGGAATGTGCAGATCATTCAATGAAAATGATAGCACCTCAAATGTGTTTGCATTCTCACAATCATGTGCAACGTTATTATCTTATAGCGATTCGGATGGAAGGCATCTGTGCATTAAATTGAGATTATAATTATGTTATTGAATTGTTTTTGACAAGTTGAATATTGTAAATATGGTTTGTTAATCTCACATACGATTGGAAACATTTCGAACAAATATAAGGATTTTTTTTCTGAAATTGAATCTACCAATTCTGAAATACAACTTACCATTTCTGAAATTGAATGGACTTTTTCTGAAATTCATCTCACCGATTCTGAAATTGAGTTTACCATTTCTGAAATCGAACTAACCAATTCTGAAATCGAGATTACTTTTTCCGAAATTGAAGTTGAAAAGGTATAGAACAAAAGGAAGGAGACGGAAGATCATTCGAGAACGTTCTGGAACCAAAGCCTACCAATGGATCTTATATATAAGACGGCCGAACAACTGAGTCAGTCAGTCGAACAGCGAGTGTCAGAGAGACAGTTATATACCGCGTGATATAAATCGTTTTACATAAATATTAGTTATAAGTTCGTTATAAATTTGTGTTTCTTTAGTTCAAATAAATCAGTTCGAAAATTAATAGTGTCGTGTTCGCTTCTGCACCCGAATAACGTAACAGTATTATTCCCTAGGGAGATAATGTGACATATTTTCTCCCTAGGGAGTTTATACCAACTTCAAATTTTCCGCATAGCTCTGCGCTTTCTTTTCGGAACACCCTTCTCTGAAGCGAGTATAAGCTGCACCATACAGATTTCTAGATCTCACTGGTAGCAAGTTGAGAATCACTGCAGAAGCAGTATCAATAGTTTCTTGGGTTTTTCCCTCGATTTCTTGTTCCATAACCGTTTACCGTTTTCGATGCTGTTTTCATAAATTTCAGTTTGATATTTGCTGTCACCATGGGTTCTCAACAAGATGCATGTTGTCAAGATACGAATTCCACGAACTATAATTATGACAAAACACATTTTTATTCTTTCTCAATTCTTGTGTTTTCGCCAGCGTGAAAAATAGAATAAACATCTCAGGGCAGAAAAAATCTGGCATTTTTGTCCCTTGATGTATAATGCAGTATTTCCTGGTGAATTTCTAAGTGAGATAACCTCAAGGTGAGAAATAGTTATTTAAACACCAAGCTGGTAAAGAATATCATTATTATACCCAGAGACCAAGATTATATCTCGAGGTACCGTGGCAATAATATTCTTTTCCGTCGACCTCGTATTAACGACTGAGTTTAATGTATATGAAATCGTTCATTAATGACCCCTATTAATAAACGATTTGTCTATTAATGCACGATTGTTTTATAGGCAACCAAACATACACCGCGTGCATTCATTGTTTATGCTATAACTTACGGAATCTGCATTTAAATCGAAAATATTGATTTCATCTAAGATTTTCCGTTAAAGGGTTCGTCTTTCCAAGTTACTGACACGATTTGGTTCCCTGTTTTCTAACACAAGGAATTTATTTTCTATGTTGATCTTTTCGACAAATTTTAAATGTCACTAATGTCAGTAACAAGGCTACTGGGTGATTCTTAGCAGTTTCCGGATGGATGATGAATTCGCGAACCAAGTTTTCTTCATTGCAGGAGAAATGAGAAACATAGTCGACGGAAAAATTTTGTATATTAAAAGGCGATAATGATCTCATTAACTCGCTCACTTCGCTCGCACGTTAAAATATCTCGATCATTAATCGCCCTCGTTAGTACACTAGTTGGTTAAATAACTATTACTACCAAGGTGCATGTTTTTCACCACTGAGGAACTGAAATTTGGACCTATTATTGTCACTATGAAAGCACTTCTTTTCAATTGCAATTAGAATATAGCAGCCATGACCATGACAGCATAATATGACAAGCCGAACCTCGCATCAGAGCAGTGAATTCGGGTTCACTATAACAGAGGTGGCAATATCTTCATTGCCTAGTAGTTCATAAAATGACAAAAAATACCTCAGTAGTAAAATTACATTTCGAGCCTTGAAAAGCTATAGCAAGTGGTGGGTAAACTCAAATTATTGGCCACTTCTATACCGTATGGATATTTGGTATGCTTACCAAGGTGATCTCACTAAATTCGGACCGAATGTCTCAGTTAATAAGACATGTTCACACTATGTATGAAATGAATAATGCCTTTTAGCAAGATTCAAAATTAGCTGAATCTGAATGAAATATTGTTTTGAGAAGTCATTAAACAACTGAAACTTGCACTCAACTCAAGTCGAGGCTATACAAAAGTAGACCAACGTGTTTACACCGTACGTCATGGTCATCATGTATTATTTTAGTCTGGTACGCAACAAGTTTCGGTACCAAACTGAGCTGGTAACTTTACCAAGTGCACTGTTCATACTTTATACCACACTGACCAAGAGGAGTTGACCCCAGCTCATCAACAGACAACTCACCAACTTCCATTTCAATCGTACCCAAGTCATAAACGACCCAATTCATCAATACGAACATTAAATCAACTCCAACCTCGTGAACGACCTAACTCATCAACGACCCATCTCATCGACGCATTCATTTCATCAACATCCAACTCACCAACGAAGCAACTCATCAACGACCCGCAATTCATTAACGCATCAAAATCATCAACATCCAACCCACCAACGACCAAACTGATCAACGACCCAGATTAAATCTGAGATTATCGATTGGAAAGGGACCTTCGTGCTATCTGCCTCTACATCGCGACCCTTTTAGATCTATTCTGCCTGCCCTCAAAATGGCTCAGAGTTCTTAAGATAGCTAGCCCTGCCTTCTCTATGAGGCTCCAAAGGCTAGTTTTTAGATACCCCGTGTATCATTAGGCTCTTGGTTTTTCCTCGTAAGATATCTTAGTCTTGACAACCCCTCACAGTGGCAAAGTATGTGTACATACTGCTGTTTCCTCCTCTTCCTGACAGAACCTGCACAGCAGTAGCTCATCAGCCAGGCCTGTCGTACTGTTGAGCCTACAATGCCTTGTGAGAAGATATACTTGTTTTCTAGTTGAACTTCGTTCTTGGCTTAGTAGATGATCTGTGAATATTGGCGATGGTTCTTTAATAAACTCCTCTGCTTGCCTCATTCCTCGCGAGTTGGTCCACGATTCTTGATATTTGATTTGCATCCATGATTTGATGCTTGTCATTTGTATGGCTTTCGCAATAGGTACCACAAAAGGGTTCTGGGCCATTCAGAGCTTCACTTGCTCCTTGCTCCTGATCGAGTTAGTGAATCTGCCTCTTCATTGGCCTCGTACCCTGTGTGTGCTGGTACTGCCCAGTTAAGGGTTTCTAGGCAGTCTCAGACTATTCCTTTTCAACTTCAATTTCGGAATCGGTAAGTTATATTTCGGAAAATGTAATCTCGATTTCAGAATTGGTTAGTTCGATTTCAGAAATGGTAAACTCAATTTCGGAATCGGTGAGATGAATTTCAGAAAAAGTCCATTCAATTTCAGAAATGGTAAGTTGTATTTCAGAATTGGTAGGTTCAATATCATGAAAAAAATCCTCATATTTGTTCGAAATGTTTCCAATTGCATGTGAGATTAACAAACCATATTTAAAATATTCAACTTTTCGAACACAATTTAATCCACAGATGCCTTCCATCTGAATCGCTGGAAGATAGTGGCGTTGCACATGATTATAAGGATGCAAACACATTTGAGGTGTTATCATTTTCATTGAATGATCTGCATATTCTTCAAGACATCGCAGCCTGAATTCTATCTGGTTGAGCAATCTGTTCGGATCTCCAGCTATGACCCTTTGGCGATGCTCTTGCAAGAAGCTCTTCACTTTTGACTTGAAGGCACCCCATATATGTTCAATCTGATTCAACATAGGACTCTCAAACACCGTTCCATCCACTGTAAACAATCTTCTCTTTTGCAATTAATAACATTTCAACATATAAAAGGATCTCATCTTCTGAAATTGTACCTATATACCAATAATAATTCTGAAATACAACTAACCATTTCTGAAATTGAATGGACTTTTTCTGAAATTCATCTCACCGATTCTGAAATTGAGTTTACCATTTCTGAAATCGAACTAACCAATTCTGAAATCGAGATTACTTTTTCCGAAATATAACTCACCGATTCCGAAATTGAAGTTGAAAAGGTATAGTTTTGAGTTAACTTGCATTGAGTTAACTGCAATGGTTTTCCCTGTGAACTCTTGCCTTATCAGTTCTTTAACGCAATGATGTATTGCGACAATTTCTGCCTGAAACACCGTCGTGTATTTACCTATAAGCTCAGTGAGATTCTTGTCTTTGGCTTGGCACCAGAAATACCGGCTCTCGACCCTTCTTCAGTTTTGGAACCGTCCGTGTCGTCCGGGTCGTTGATGAGTTGTGTGTTGATGAAATATATACGTTGATGCATTTGGCCATTGATGAGTAGGGTATTGATGAAATGGGCGCGTTGATGAGTTGGGTCGTTGATTAGTTTGATTGTTGATGAGTTGAGTATTGATGAATTTGGTGCGTTGATGATCTGGGTCGGTGATGGTTTGGGTCGTCGATAAATTGGGTGTTGATGTAATGACTACGTTGATGTGTTGGGTGGTTGATGAGTTAGGTCGTTGATGAGTTAGATTTTGATGAAATGAATAGGTTGATGACTCGAGCTGTTGATGAGTTGGTTCGTAGACGAGTTGGGTGTTGACGGAATGGGGGTGTTGCTGAGATGGGTCGTTGTTGATTTGGGTCGTTGCTGAAGTGGGCGCGTTGATTACTTGGATCGCTGATGAGATGACCGTTGATCAAATGGGAATTGGCAAGTTATTCGTTGATAAGGTGGGTTGACCTGGACCAAGAGTATTTAGCTGAAATATAGTCATTAGTAAGCTAACCAAAGACCCGGCATTAACGTGGCCAATGTCAAGTTTACTTCGACCCAAATAAATATTGACTGTGAACCGGTGAGACATTTCAATGATATGTCGAAATACCTAAGACTTTGTTCAATTGTATACATACAGTGTCATTCATGAAGTTGGCATCATACGGGAAATACTCAAAAATAATTTATACGTGATTAAGTGAGATTGAAACCTTTCATTAGTTGTTAAAAACGACAAAATCAGCATGTCAATCCATTGGAACTAAACATTTTGGTATGGTAGAGTGGCTATTCATTATGGCTGCTTCATTTTCGTTACAGTTTTTCTATAGTTGTTATTCAAGAATCAATATGTATGAATTTACCTTTCAATGTTGGAAACAATGGTGGTGAGAACTGTGACGATAAATGCGATGCTAAATGAGGTGAGAAGAACAGTGGAGGAGTATTCCTTGTTCCTGTACCGTCCATCACAGGTCTAAAGCCTCCGGTAGCACTGAAACAAGATAAAATATTTGTTAATCGTTTGTTGTTTCCGAATACATAGTAGAATGAAAGAAATAATTATCAAATTCATCAATATCTCAACAAAAATTGTTGTTGATGTCTATACAGGGTGATTCATTGGGAAATGTGCATACAGTAAGGATTCATCAACCATTCGCAGAACCGAGCCAAAGAGCTACTCAGCCTCAGCAAACCAGAGATAAAGCTTATCACAGGCTTTCTCACAGGACACGGCCTCAAAAAGATGGGCCTGGCGGAGACTGACACTTGCCGCTTTTGTAACAATGCGACCGAAACCGCGGAACACATACTTTGCTCATGTGAAGTATTAGTCCGCCAAAGGCTGAACCACCTAGAACAGGTCTATCTCACCCCTGCTGAAGTGGAAATTCAACCGTCAGGAAAATCGTAGGCTTCATCAGAAGTCTAGGGTTAGAGGACCAAAACTAGATAGGGGTAATCACAATAGATCTTCTAGGTCGCAGTGATCGAGAGGTCTCCCAGCCTATACGACCCATCTACAATCTACAATCTACAAGGGTAGATGGAGGACATTGAGGTGCTTATGAATAATCTATATTTCATGAGTCCAGCATTCTTTATAACCTGGTGATATATTGATTGGCTTCATTTTTTCAATTAATCCTTACTTATGAACTACCCTACACATATTTTTGATATTCAGTTTTCATGATCTTTGTCCATAGTGGAGATGATTGACATAATGAAAAAGTATTATTCCAGGGCCGGCCTTGGAAATGGTAATGAGTAGGTTCCGAGTCAAAACAACACCCTGTATATCAATATTTCAAAATCTCATTAACAAAATTGGAAAGAGCAGAAAAAATAGGACTGAATATATTTGGTGTTTCCGCATCTTTCTACCTATAAACTTGATTCAATTTTTTTATGTTCTGGTTCCCACGAAGAAGGATATCCTGTAATGTTCAGAAAATATCCTGAGAATCAAGGGAAATAAGGTAGGAATTGGTGTTCTTCTCAAATTTCTGGAGGTAATATGCCTCGGGGAAATCGAGAGCTTCCATTAATAAGGTGGCACAAAATTATGGAAAAAAATATTTGTGGTCTCAAATGGTACTTTCCCATTTATAATCCATAAAACCGATAGAACATGTCAGTATTTGGGACAAGTTATTATTATATAAATGACTAACTTGTATGTGTAAGAAAATTATGATAAAATCATCATGACATTTGTTTATTTCACTACATTTTGTTGATGAGTTTGTACTTTGTACTGCCAACTAATTTTGTATTACAATTTCATCAAACTTTCACTAGGAATATCTGTTAGCATTATTTGAGAAAACATTTTTTCCTTCGGAACTATGCGGAATACGAAATTTTCACAAGACTTACAATTTGGAAATAATTGATCAGTCATCTCGTTTGAAGAATTTGGGAACCCTATTACCACCCCTATTACCAAGAATGTACTGAAAGAAATGCCAGGACGAGGATGGTTTCAACCCTTCTACAATTTCTTTCTGGTTTCTTTGATCACTGGAAGAAGGGTTATCCTCTAAAATGCACTTTTGTCATATTACTATTTTTGGACGTTTGTAGAAATGATATTTATTTGCAACTCGTGCACGAAATACTTTGGTCATCTCGCCTATTTTTCAGTTCTCGATCACCAACGTAGCATTTCGCACACTAGATACAAAAACAACTATATTTATATATAATAATATAATATCCAGACTTTAGTTATAATATTTTACTTTTTTATCAATATTTTCCTATTTATGATCCTTTCTTATTTGGTATTTTCACTTGTAATACCACTAGAGGTCAAATTATAGGAATAATTTATGAAATATTCATGTGCGAAAAAAAATTCCCGGAAAATAATTTGATCTCGTGTGGTATTCGGACCAATAATAGATTCCTTTGCATGAAAATACTAGTTTGAAATGTAACATATTATATTCTTCCATTCTATATCAACTTCAGGATACTACAAGTGATAAGAAATTATAATTTTGTCAATTATGGCTGTATGACACCTGTTAAATTTGATGACAAATATGATAACAAAAATATTTTCTATGTGCCATACAGTATAAATATTTATAATATCAAAATATATAGAACCAGTCCTATATTTTTACAAGAATGTTTGCAAATCTGGGCAAAATCAACAACTTTTTCACTGTATGACACAAACAAATATTTCAATCATCATTTTTGTTAACATATTCGTTATCAAATTCAACAGGTGTCATACAGCCTTCAGGGGTGTTTTCGTGTGATATTCTAGCAAATAAAGTTTATATAAACATGTGTCCTAACTTGCTCCGGTTTTGAGATACAGGATGTTGAGGTTGGAAGTATAAATTGTTTTTATTGATTACCCCTCTGAAAAAGCTTTTATGTTGCCAAAATTCAGTAAGGATTGGAACTGAGAAAGGCCCAACATTTCAAAATGATTCTAATTGGGGTTATTGAGTAATCTCAATAATAGTCTTGAAAACACCTACATCAAAATTTGGAGTCAAATAAAATTTTATTTTTTTTATTGTCTCCTCGAAAACTAGGTATAAGCTAGATGGAAATGTTACACAGGTGGTTAAAAAATTTTTATCTCGATAGTTCAATCTAATAAAATTATGAAACTCTGAAAAACCAGTGGTGTACAATATGACATTCACCTTGAATATCGATGAATCCACCCACTGTGACGCCACTGGAAATATTATTTCGAATCTAATCACACAAGAATAAGCTCCATATTACTATCAACAAAATCACAACGTTTCATTGAAATTGATGAAAAGACAATTTAGAAATGAATAGAAAAAATATTTTTCATGGAAATATTAATACCCTGTATCTCGAAAACGAAGCAAGTTAGGACACATGTTTATAAGAACTTCAGAATTTAGATACACCCTGTATAATTTCAAAAATATCGATATATCGATATATTATCAAACTTATTGATATGTTACGAATTATCGATAATCGCGATGTGAAATACAATATCGCGCAGCCCTAGACGAAACCTCTATAATTACGAATCGGTGATTCCATAAAAACCCTATAAGGTCAGAAAATGCACCATATATTGTAACGCCCACAAAATACGATTGCTCTTGTTAAAGAAATTAGAATAACTGAAATGATACAAAATTTTGTTTCATGATTCACATAACGTTTCGAGTTCTTGTTCGTGATTGAAAAAGAGCTTTAGGATTTTCCATTACACATATAACTTTTGGGAATAATTCAGAAGGGAACCGGATAACATCTAATACAATAATGCAGCAAATGTAACCCTCATGTATGGAAGAAAGCTTGTTGCTTGTTTTACATCGCAAATACAGTCCCATAGGTATAGCATATACCGGATGCGTGGAACGAAAATTCATGTTTTTTAAAATTTAATCGAAAGTAGCTTATGCAGCGAAGGGAAACTATATATGGCCTCGACAAAACGGATCTATAAAACATATAAATTGTATATTCTTTGTGAGAAGTGCCATATTACATCTCTTGAAAGCTAGCAAGGATCTGACAAGACAAGAATTTAAATATTCATCAGACAGACATAAAGATTGTAATATCATAAAACGAATTTTCCATTCGCTCAAACTGAAAGAAGATGGCTAACGTCCCATTTGCATTTCAGAGACGCGCGAAATGACAGTGATATTTTCATTAGGAATATTAGGATGATTTCCTTCTGAACAAATTAATTTACAGGGAAAATTGTCTGTACTCTTCATTTATCATGACATTAGGATAATCCTTCTACTGCACTTTCCCTGCTCCAAAGAGAATTTTAAAACAAAGAAACTAAAATTTCATTGATTTTCAACGAATTTGGACTAGATATAACCAGGTCTTTCTCAAAAGTTATAGTGTTGATCCCCTATAACTTTTTTGTTTCTGCAGATTAACAGATTGAATTCGGTGTGTGGGTAAAATACATAAATATGCATTTTTCTAAAAACGTCAAAAAATGGCAAGGTTCGCGCATTGATAACAAATTGCGAAGTGACACTTTTTTCCAGTTTCCTACGTTACCATGATACCTTGCACAAAACAATGTGCGAAGTAAAACTGCGCGAAGTACCTACTTCCCGCATTGGTATGTAAAATATATGAGATATTTATATTTCAACTTTATGGTCCTCAATTGTGCAGACATCCACGACATCATTTATTTCTGAATAATCAACAATAGGACTCCTCCACAAACTACCATCATACGGCTTACCACCTCAGCTATGCCGCATCTCTTATTGAGTTTTCTTTCAGGCAGATCGCTTCACGTGGTGGTGGATCAATTCCGGCGTTCCACAAGTATCAATTTTGGCACCAACATTATTCCTCATTCTTCATATCAATGATCTGTTGGGAGTAACAACTTGCCCCATCCACAGCTTTGCAGATGATAGTACCCTCCATACTGCGTTCTCTTCCAGAATTCCCATTTCTTCCCAGGAAACTAAGAACTCACGGCGCAGGCAGGTCAATGCTGTCAATGAAGACCTTGCTGAAATCACAACCTGGGAAACCAACAACTTAGTTGAATTCAACGCCACCAAAACTCAAGCCTGTATTTTTTTTAGAAAGGCGGAACCCAGTATGCCCGACATTGTAATGTCTGGCACCACCATCTCCACCAAGCCCACCATATCTATGCGCGGTATTTCCATCAGCAACACTCTTTCATGGGATAATCATGTCAGATCCATCGCAAAAGCGGCTTCACAAAAACTCGGATTCTTGTTCCGTGCGAAAAGCTACTTTACACCTCAACAGCTTCTCGTGATGTACAAAGCGCAGATACGGCCTGTTCTAGAATACTGTTCCCACATATGGGGTTCAGCACCAAAACATACGCTGATGCTCTTAGATTCCATCCAGAGAAGAGCCATCCGCCTGGTGAGTGACGCCACACTCACTCACTCTTTGACATCATTGGAACACCGTAGAAGGGTCGGCGACCATTCACTT